GAAAATAGTATGTGCTACTTGTAACAGGAAAAACGGATACACTGAAAACAGTTTGAATAACAAAGCAGTGCATTAAATATGCATCGCTTTATACATGTCAAACATCAAAAAGATTTAACACTGCCCTTCACTGACCACAGTCAAATCTACACATATATCTTTCCCGTTGTAGATGAAGGTGACACCAAGGTGCTTTCAAAGATATAAATGGGGCACATTTTTTTTTTAATTTCTTCAATTTAGGTGGATGAAACCCTGATCTGCTGTTGTGTAATAACTGTGAAGGTTTTATTTGAAATTCCTGTTGTAATGCATGCACATGTACATGTACATGTATGTGAAGTTGTGAATTAAGTTACTGGATTCAGTGTAACGTGTCTTTGGCATCAAAGAGATGCTGGATTTTTTGTGCAGACAAAAGGATAGGTTTGCATTTGTCTCAAGGAAAAAATAACAGTTCCGAAAAAGCGACATTTTAATCTGCACACTGAACGACTTATAAAGTCACTATGTATGAGTGTTTGTCTTTTTTTTCTAAATTTCTATGGACGACTGGTATGGGTTGATCTTTTCAGAAATTCAAATATCTTACATCAAGTTTTGACTGTTCACTTGATAGAACTGCAAAGAAAAACACTTGAAAGGTTCAACGAGCCTTTTCAAGAGATGGAATTTTGCAGCAGATGTAAATCCTGTTCATGCCTCAGGGGTATTATTCATAACTTCAAAAAGGTACAGCAATATGATGTGGCATGAAAACGTTGGGCTGAGTGTTTGAAAAAGGCGGTGCATGACAGTACACTTGTGCTGAAAAGGTAAAGTGCAGGGACGTTACGTCGGGGTTGCAACAGACAACAGCAAGAGAAGTTGGGAATCAACAACACTGTCCCTCATTCAAAAAGGAGGTTCACGTCACTTGGAGGCAACATGAATAATGAGCATGTACAAAGAGAGTGCAAAGAGCCATCACATACTAAGTGTCAAGAGTTGGGAAAAATGGTCCTCTTACAAGCCCAACATGTACATATATTCCTTAGGCAGTGGTGTCACTTGGAGTTGTAAATTCCTCCATCCTTTATGTTGCACACTGAAGACATCTTGAGACCTGAAATGGTCAGGCTACGGAAGTTACGAGAGTGGTTAATTAAGGAAGGCAGAAGGAACAGCCGTGATGGAAAATCAAGACTACTGAATTATGTAGGCTACATAATGTCATGACCAATGACAGTTATTACCAATTCTTCAATATTTTAAAAGTGTTTGAAACATTTCAGAAACTTTAAACCAAACTTTTAAAAATTCAGTACCCGAACTTTGAATCAAAGAACTCCCCTTAAGTTTTTTTTTCAATTTCGATCCTGGTTGGTACATGTATGTCAATAGGCTTTCAAAGACAGTGGTCCTTTCAGCCAGGTGTCAAACATTAAATCAAAATCAAACCTATAGCATTTCGAAAAGGAATGCGATATTCCTTCATCCAGTAACCTGAGTGCTCTGTCTTGAGGCAGCCCTTTCCGGGGGAACAACAGGCGCTACCACCCCCTCAGCTACCAATGCAGAGACCCACTTACGAGCGCTGACACTCCTAGGTCAAGGTCGCGTCCCCTATACCAAAACCGCTAAATGGGGGTGAGCAGGCTGTGAACACGAGAATCCCTGCCAACCACAGTTGGCGAGAGAGAAAAAATATACCGGGAAGAGAGAACGCGTGACAGAGAACTGCGCTAAATGTTGTGACATCAGCCAGTGTTCTTCAATAGGAGGGCATTGCCCAACTGGTCATTGACCTCAGCTAAGCCTCCCAGTAACTTGTCCTACTTCTTGTCAATAATGGAGATGTAGGGCCCTATTACAACACAGACTCTTAACCAGTATCTCAGCAGTAGGTGAGGAAAAAATCCTTTTGAATGGGACACAAAGAATGTTTACTCTAGTTCAAAAGAGAAGGCACAGGCATTACAACAAATTTCTCAAAGGAGCACCAGTCCTGTAATGATGGAAAACAGGCATGCTGCCCTCTCTTGAAAACATTTCCTTTTTTTTTTAAATGTCTTACAAAAATATACTGGCACAATAAAAACTCCTTTTAGGTTTTTGCTGGACTACAGCCAACTCAACTGGAAGGTACATGTAAAATACAAAGAGAGCTCCTGAAAAACATCTGACCAGCACAAAATGACACAGGCAGTGAGCGGCAGAGAAGGGCATGTGCAGTCTGTTATTAACCTGTACACCTGCACAATTATGTACAGGATGTATAAATATCCCACATAAGAAGCACATTACACTGTCTCAATCAATGTGATTTAGCCTGGTTGGGGCACAAATTTATCAAGTATTGCTTTGGATGCATGTAATCACTTGTCTGAATTATTCTGTAGGTTAAGAGCTGTGAATAAATGTGTTGCTATTTCGCACGTATTACTTCGTTTTCTTCCATTTTGAAAATGTAATTTGAGCCCCTATTATGATACCTATGCCTTAACTACATGTACATGTACAAAACAAGATGACCTCTCTGTGGCAACTGGAATAACGCCAAAAGTAGACACTCATCCTCAAGACAGCAGTCAAACAGGACCATGGAAAACAGTGACCATTGAATACCAAATAGATTTCTCTGAAACAATGTTGATTTAAGGCAGCATGTACCATCCTCCTCAATAAATCATTATTGCTCTATCCAGGAGAGCGCATACAATCAAAACACCCACAGAACACAATCAATATTCTAGTTTCTATCCTATGAACAAGATTCAGACAAACACTTCCCTGTGCACCAATATAAACACTGAAACTTCACCACTCCATTGAGACAAGTTTGACACTGGTGATACAATGACTGAATACTAGTACATTTTAAACTCATGAATTTCTTTCCTAGAAATGCGCAGACGGACTAAGTTGGCAATGAATACGTGATGGCTTCCATAAATTTTTACTGGCTCCATCCTCTATGATCGAGCAGACCTTACGGTGACTTTTGGTTTTTTGCCAACTAGTCATATCTAGGCCTGTTATGTCTTCAGAGAACCCCCTACTCTGAGTCCCTCACAAACAAGCACGCGATCCTGTCAATCCCCATCGCCTGGCATGTGAGCAATTCCCACCCTGGCACCGACCCACAACCGACTCCTTAAGAGGTCAGGCCGTCAACAGAGGGCCAGCTGCAGGAAGTCATGTGACCCTTATTCGACCTCTTCGCTGATCCCTTTCCTCCGTGGCCTTCCTAGTTAGCTCCACTGAGCAGGGCACAAGGAGGTTGAGTGCGTTTGCCTTCCAAATGACCCTAACCCCATGGCAACTAGTACTGTGTAGTGACAAAAAAACAAGAGCCAAAATGCACTAACAGGGATGATGTCAGAGCAATCAAGTGGTGTGGGTTTCCAAGAAGGCGGAGACAGGGAAGTGTGTAATGTACACAGCAGAGAAATGACGTGTACACAACAAGGAAGTTCACTCACCAACGATGACTGTCGACCATGCTCATAACTAACCTTGAAATGTATACACAGGGGCATGTGGATGTGCAAAACATGACCGGATACATTTTCAGAACCCCATCACACATGTACACTCATCCTTTTCACAGAATTTCCTTGAATTTTGCAATGCAGGCCATCCCTTCAAATCAACATTTACTAGCTTCCGGTCCCATTAGGCACACACTGCCAACATACATGTACATCTTTCACAGTTGCATACTGGGGCCCCTGGAGGAATGATGCCAGTTTTCCAGATGGAAATACCAGCTGTATGCATGGGAGCATTCAAGAATCATCAAGGTAAGACGAAGGATGAAAGTATTATAACGTATCTTCACAAATTTCAAGGCTGGCGCTAGTTTTTCTCCCACCACAATTTTAAAAAATATGAGCTGCAAGAGAAACTGTGACCGTTAAGTAATCCATGTTCTTTTTCTTCAGTCTCAACAAAGACAACGAAATATTTCCTGATCTGAACCTGGGAACCCCAGAGGAAATCCTTCCACCCTGCCTCAAGTTGAAGTTTTACCAGTTTAAGGATCTCTTTACTCAAAGGAAGGTGGCCAGACGTCTTGCAGCCTGGGAATACGCTCACAGTAGGCAAATTAGGAGCAAGGCCATTGCACCGTTACAGGGGTGATATTGACCAATGATAACAATAGCTGAAAACAGCTGAAAACTAGCATGAAGAAGCTGAACTGTGAAAATCTCCTATACTTTTATACACCGCCAGTGAGGAAAAAAAAGCTGAAATCTAAAACAAAAAAAGCTGAAATCAGCTAAAAAGCTGAGAAATTTCACCCCTGCTGTTAGTTCAGTGGTTAAGAAAATGAATGCCATTTCATTTGATCCTCCATACATGTACATGAAAACTCAACCTACCAATATTTGGATACCATTCGAATTGCATGCATAAAGTCCAGTAATTAGGAATAATCACTCCTCTAAAGTGGAAAGACAACATTTTATAGAACTTGAGTAACTCCATGTCACATTAGCCTTTGGTTGTCAGGTGACCAACTCCCATGAACTTTTCCACAGAACTACATGTACCTAAGAGCATGAAATGAACACGAAATAGACTTGAACTCTTTGCTACATGTACGAGTCATTTCAGAGATTTGCCCACCACAAAGTACAACCTTGTCTTTTATACTCTCATTCGCAACTGAGCATTTTTGTGTGTGCACTGCTTATACCTCAAACCGTTTCAAGACACTTTCTTCAAGATGATCGAGGGCATAGGAGACATCCATTATCTAAGAGTTCACTAAAACTGACCATTAGGTTTTCATGATGAAAGGTCTCGAAAGACCAGCACTTTTCAAAACTTTGTTGGCGTCACGTTTGACCCTTTCTGGCACAAACATGCAAACTCTAAATGGTTTCATTTTTGGACTACATAAAAATGAGCCGCACATCTTTGCTGACATTTGAAGGTTGAAGTTGTGGAATGACCCACCGGTACTTAAACCAACAAACACTCCAACAAACAACCAACAAATAAATACTCACCGTCATCTGATTGCATCTGATCCCATCCCGAACTTCGAGGGGATTTCTTCCCTGTAAAAATTTCAAAAAGGAAAAACAAAAGTTGAAAGATAAATTCCCAAGAAATCAACAACTCAAGCACAAATTACTCTGTACCCTTACACACGTCAACAACAGAGGGCGCTCTTGCACACAAGTGTTTTGCTCTACAACAGATTTTGAAGTATGTACTGTACATGCACAAGTACATGTATGTCGTGTTAAGAGGGCAGACCAATGGGGAGGGCTCCATGGGCACACTGCTTCTTGCTGTAGAGGGGTCATGTCAATACCAGCTCGTGCAAATTCTGCTCTACCCTAAGGTCCAAGGGACCATTCTTTAAACAGCTTGTCCATAATGGCAGAGCAACATGGCGGCAATAATTATTCACAATTTTTGTTTGTAGTTCGGCATAGAAATTTTACTATGTGCAAAAAGTGAATTCAATACATACAGTTATTTATTTCCCTGATAAATATCAACCAAAAAACACTTAGAACATATGTAACTGCAGAATTCAAAATATCAAGCAACTGGCAAAATTTCATATCAGGAATATGGAAACTTCAACCAAAACAGACAAAGAAATTGATGGTAATTTGATATGCGGATATTACTTGCTGAGACTCAGACGAGCACATGAGCATTTCAAAACTCAAAGACAATGATAATTTAGGCTTCTTCATATGCTCAAACTGGGCAATGGTTTGATCAGGATTCAAAGGGCAACACTTTCAGGGAGGGGAGATGTTGACAGCCATTAGCAGAAAAGACTCAAGAGATGGGAAGGGAGAGGGGCAATTGGCCCTTGAGGTTCAGCCACACTGTCGGACTATTTATCTTTCCGGCTATGACATTTCGGTTGGACAGTCTATGTGGATTAGAATTGGGAATAATGTGCTGAGAAGGAAAGAAGAAAGGGCAAAAGGATTCACTGAAATTCTCAAGTATTTGAACAGCTCCGGGATGCATGCAAACCTTTAGGCCTCATACTTATAAACAAATCAGGGTACATTTGTAAGGCTAACATTCTCTCAAGTTACATGTAAATGAACACTCCTAGGCCAAAGAAAACTGGCGAACATTATGAATTTGGACAGTTATAGTGTTTACAATTTCATATCCACATGCAAAAAAATATCAGGAAATGCCCTTATACAGCTGCGGTACTGCTACCAGCAGCCAAAATCTTGAATTTTTTGGACAACCTGAAGTGAAGGTATTTTTAAAAGTGAATCTATTTAAATGAGAAGTGAAAATGTAACAAAGTGCCGCACAATGTTTGCTGACGAAAGTTACATGTATCGACACTCTACAATTCCAAAGACCGTGAAAGGGGCCGATGTTTTGATCCTAGCAAACTCTTTGAGAGAGATTCTGCTAGGATTGAAATGCTAGGCCCTTGAACTTGTTAATGGGAAACAAATCACTCAAAAGAGACACAATTCTGCACCATTAAGAGCCTTTGCTTTAATGATCAAACTCAACTGAAATGAACAACAAACTATTCTTATGAAAGCTAGCATGGACACTATCAACTAGCGAAAAATAAAATCGTCCAAATATATGTCCCAGGTATTTGTACCGTACCCAGTCCATGGAAAATACATGTACATGTATAGCTAAATTCCAAAACAGATTTCCTACTGTATAAAACAATTTAACGATAGAGTCACAGACATCTGAAGGAAGAGCTACCATACGAATTCACCACATGATGCCTTGAAGTGAGTTAGTAACAGCCCTCCCTCCACCTCGCTGCAACACACTGACCTCAAACGGTCAAGAGACAATGCGGGCACCGTCCATGTTGCCACGGCAACACGACCAGACATTGTGCATGAACGGTCTGGTAATTGGCAAAAGTGTCACATTTGCGTCACCCCGGTAAATCCTCCCAGACAGCGGGCTGTCAATTAACGTGGGGTTAACACCATTAGAAAGAGTGAATAATGGGTAAACTTTAAAGGAATCTGCAATAATAAACAAACAAACAAATACTGGCAACAAATTAAAAACTGAAGAGATGTTAAAATTGGAGGTTGGGGTTGCAAAGAACCTGTGCCGTGTTTTCAGAAAAAAAGGGGCAGGTTTCATAGTGGCTGTCATAACTTTGTTGTTCAATATTGATCGGTGATTATGAATACTTGCAGGTGTGCCTGTCCTTATACCCATAGGAATTTTCTCCTCTAAATATTAATATAAAAGTGGAACTAATTTTATTTCAGGTTGGGGGGAGTTTTTTCTAAGATGCGCTCTGGGTGTTTTAGGGCACATTTTGTCTACTTCTGTGGTGCCAATAATGTTTGTGACACTGCCACATTAGTTTAATGTGTTATTTTCTTCTGACTGTAACAAGGTGTCGATGTACATGTACAAGTAAGGATGCACATGTTCCGGTACTGTTTACTGTGCTCTGACACTGTTTCTGAAGCCCTGTGTTGCAACATCCCATCTGCTAAATAAGGGTAAGTCAAGGGCACATGACAATGAACATGTAAGATGCAGATCACTCCCACACAGCTCAAAGCTGGGTGCCCCTGAATCTACAGAGATGATCCCGGGCCATACTGGCACAATCCCACCATTTCTTGGCCCAAACAGACCCCTCTTTTCGAAAGAATCTGTGGGGCTACTTTTTGTGCGCCTCTGCCTGGCGGAGAATTTTCCTTGAATTGGAACACTCCACCCCTCAATATCTGAAGGCTGCCCTCTACTGGTCAAATGAGATATCACCCATCTTTAGCCTCCTTTCCTCAAGTCTCCTAGAGCAACCCAAATTCATTGAGTCAACAGGCCTGTAACTTAATGACATCACGCTTAATTTGCATGTGCATTTTTAAATGGCAGTCAGGTGGGATGTGATCCACTGAGCTCCATAGGAAAGCACACATGCACCGTGTATGATGTCAAAAAGCATGACATCATTATGCTTCAGGTCTGTTTTCCTTTTTTTTCTGCAACATATTCATATTCATCGGCCCCAAACAGGTTTGCCTCATACTACATGCATATGTGAACATCTTTGTGTGCATAACTGATGTATTGTTGCGTTACTTGTACTGTACTGTATGTTTGCACTGAGTGAATGAGTTTTAAACAATACAGCAATAGATTTTATTCATGTGTCGGCACTCTTGAACTGAAAGTGTTTTGGCAAAGTGTTTCAAGAGTTAAAACAACCGTGATGAAAAAAAAAGGTTCAAAGCTCATCTGAAATAAAAGTGAAATATCAATTCATGCCCATTTTTGCTGAGAATAGATTAAAGTTTGCGATAAATTACATCTATAGGAACATTTTGTCATCAACATATAAAAAAATGGAAGTGAGGTTTGGAACCTGAAATAGTCTGGCACCATATCCCATTAAACAGATTACATTGAAAATGACAAATTCAGGGGACAAGATAAAAAGTGGCTTCACTGTGATTAAGATTTATTAATTTAATGCATACATGTATGTGCGAGCACAACTAGGTTCAGTACATGTATGCCATCCCAGTGCCATTCTAGGATAATTTACGTGTACATGGCAATAATACTCTGGGTCCAGCGGAAAATTCTTTATCTGGGTCATGCTTTTGAAATTCTAGGCACAAGTCTTTTCATTTTCTGTCAGGGGCCCATCTAACTCGGTAATGTCCAGGGGACTTAATAATTTGACTGGACCCAGGACGGAGAGACAGCAAAGCTAGCCCAGAAACACCAGTGCGGGTGACAGTGGGAAGGCTTGGGAAGATGCATCACGCGGGCAAAATGCAGATTGAAGATGGCGAATATGCTATTTGGGACTCGTTACCTGGCCCCCCGTGGCCAGGCCGCAGCCAGGAGTAAGCTTATAAGCACTGACAGAAGAGATGGGCAGTTGGAACTGAGCTGGGGAAAAAATGGCTCGTATTTTGTTGAGGGGGGAAATAAGCACAGATGATGAATAGCTTTTAAGGTTCCAGACAGATAAGATTTGCTTTCTGATTTGATTAAGCATAACTGCTTTGTTAAATATAACCGAAAAACAAAATATAGAAGTACATGTAAATGACACAAGGCAAGATCTGATACTCCAGTGGTTTTACACAATTTTCAATTTTTATCGTAACGCCACTGTGCATCATGTTGACTAAGAAAAGAGTTGGGCGGGAGAGAAAATTTTGGGTGCATATGTGAAGTTTTTTGAGTGGTTATGCACTATTCTTTAGATTATCTTACTACATGGCATTTGGCTTCCTTTTATGACGACAACTTGACATTTCCTTCCTGTCCACTCTTTAAATGCTTCAAGATCAATTGTCACAAAGAACTCTTGTGATTTAATTGGAAATGGTAAAATGGAGCAAAATAACATTATGGACACCCCCCCGACAGAAAAACCAGCTGAAGAAAGATCTGTTTTGAAAAGCAGGGGCGTGTATTTGTTTCCTGTTCTAACAATTCTCAAGGCGGCTTTCATTCGCACGCACAAAACAACCTTGACGAGAGTCCTGCATTCAAATGCAGCTTGAAAAACGAGAGAAATACAGAAAATAGTTCAATTGTAATGTGCATGAGCGTAAGTGCTCTCCAGCGGCCGAGGAAAATGTCATGCAGACAGACAAGCTCGCAGTTGGGGGGACTTCACTATTTAATTATGGCCCAAGAAGGGAAAAACGCACTCAAGGAAAGAATTGCATCAGTAAGAGGCTGGAAAAAAACACAGATGTGCAGTGCAATGATAGCCAGGCCACAAAAACATCAACGGAGTCTTCCAATACACTCATCAATTTCACAACAGAAGAAAAAACCTACAATCCACAAAATGTCTCTCAATAAAAAAGTTCTCCTTGGCAAACCACTTTTAGCATACACTTTGTGTCAAAGCCAACAGTGAGCCTGCGGCAGCAGTGATACCTCGAATCTATCACTTCTTTTCCCATGAACACCAATGACAACATGAAATCTTTTTTATGTTTGAAGAATTTTTCCCTGTTTTCGTAAACTGGGCCACTTAACATCCCAGAAACCTAAAACTGTACGACTGCCACAAATTTCCTGTCCA